ATCTGATTAACGTCATTAAGCCGCCTACTTAGTCGGATGACGTCGGCTAGAAGGTTAAACATCTACACCCGAGTAATCGTTTAATTTGAGACATTATCGAGAAAATTCGCTGCAGTGGAGCTCGAATTATGGAGAAAAACATCGGGAGGATGCGCGGAGGAGCGAGGAAAGCAATGTTGTTGCAAACTACTCCCGGGCATACGTTGTTAGGTCGCCCTTTCTGAGTGACGCCGATAGCCAGAAGGCAGGTTGTTAGTATCTCTTGTCTGTCATTACTCGCTTCAAAACGGGCATGTTTTGTAAAGAAGCCATACCGGATAAACAGCTGCCTTGACCAACTCCTCCCAAATAACTAATAATCCGTCTTGTTTCATTTCGAATCGATGCCCTCTTCTTCATCAGTTTGCGCGGCATCATTTTTTTTCAAGAATCGTTAAAAATCTCTAACCGAGCGAACACGGTCGTCATCATCATCATCCTCCCGCTTTTATAATCAGATTTGCTAGTTTGTCCAATTTCTTTATCTTAAATCGCGCTATTTTTCCTTTTTCTTTCTTTATTAACTGGCGAATGCGATTTTTGCTTTATCGAAAGACTTGTTTGATCATATGGTACCAGTCTTTTATTTATTTCTATGGCATTCTATAGACGGTCGACTGATGTGGACAGGAATCATTCTACAATTTTTGGCAGTGTTTCTAACATAGCATATTTGGCGGATGGTTCTTGTCAAAGCTGCTCATCTGTCTTTCGGCCCTCGTCTATATTTAAATGGACAGAAACGTCCCGATGCGGATTCGATCTGTCTAATAATTGATCACCTACCAAAACTTCAACAAAGCGAAGATAGAATGCAGGGGAAAAAATGCTTATTTAGCACTCCTATCTTAATCTCATCTGGAAACATCACTTAAATTGTCTAACGCGAGCTTTCGCTTTTCCCTTTTTTTTTATTCTGTTACTTCCTGCTGTCCGAACATTAATTTCTACATGTCAAAAGTTTGCCGCTTGTCCGATTTCTTGGGAAATGGCAGATTTAATCCTGGAGAAACCCTTGGTGTCAATCATGCAAGTGTTCAATAATCGATGGTCAACCAACCAGCTCGGGAATTGCGAGATGCGATGGAAAAAAAAAGCGAAAAAATAAAAAAAATTGAAGTAGGATGGAAAATTAAGCATCCGAGTTTGTCAAATAGAAATCTTAGAAGTTCTTTCAACGTAACTAAAAACGAAAAAGTCAATCTTTAGATATATCTATATCTAGATTACATTTTTAGCTGATTACTATAGATGAGGATAGTATGGACGGACTTAGTTGGTATTTGAGCCGGACATTTTTTTATATCGATAATCTATATACTCGGCAGATAATCTTACTTGTTTCGAACGGTGATTGTTTGAACTCCTTTAAAGCGACTCGGTGTTGGGTAGACGGAGGAATCATTCTCTCATCGATGTTCAATAACGTCCGATCAGAAATTGGATCTGTAACCCGCCGTTGTAATGTGATTTTCGAGACCGGAACGTAATTAAAGTTGAAGGAGGTGTCGACACGTCTCTTTTTTTTTCAGTTGTCGAAAACGGGGTAAAAGAATATAATTCGGGAGAATGCGATATCAGCGCCACCACAGACAGGGAAACAACACCCCGGACGACGAACAATGTAGCTATTCCCCTTAAAGTCCCATAACTTTAAGCGATAAAAAAACCTATCTACTTGGCGACGATAAGATGTGATACATTGCTCTAGGCAGAATTACCGTCCATGTGGGAAAAGACTAGCGTCGATTCAGGTGTTATGTTTCCCGTCTCCAAATATACACTTTTTAAGTCCGACCCGCTAGTAGAATCTAGAAAAATTGAATCAAAAATGATTGTCCATGCGGCCGATGTGTGAAAACGGGGGAGGAGGTGGAAGGGGGCTGTGGCAGGTGGTAGTACGATTGTGTAATGAAATTACTTCGGGACACAAATAGGGGAAAAACGACAGGTCCTAAAGCATAACCGAGGTTTTGTGGGGGGGGGAGTAGAGTCAGAGTCCAGCGCGGATAGAAGGCGGGAGGATTTTATGGCTCCTCAAGCTGCTTTCGCGGGCTACTAGTCAGTGAGACGACTTCCTAGCACAGAGCTAATTGAGTAGAGCTTTATTTATGGTGTCTGCCTGGCCGCTTGTCCTCCATAATTTACAAGCTGAGCTCGCCAAAGTGAGAACAATGTTATTAATCTTGTCCGTGGGACTAAAGTTGATTACGGAATCATACTGGTAGTCTAGCCAAATTATACGGCGGTAGTTCGTCTGTTTATATGGTAACGTTAACCAGAGGCGGTTTGGGTTAGATAGGAATCCGTCACACCAGCTCATAACCTAATGAGTCGGTCTCCGACGAGAATATAACTGCGTTACCGAACGGCGATTTGGATGGTGCCAACCTAATTATCTGCAGGTAGACGGACATCTGCGGATCGCTTAATGAGAGTTTCAACGGATTTAACATTACCATTTACTCAATTATTCTCTTTACTTGGTATCAGTCTATGGTCGTCGCCACTTCCAATTCTAATTCTCAAGGTTGCTGTTGACCTTCGACCTGGTAGTTTCTGAGCAACATTGTAACCGACGGTGTATAACTTGTTTACAAAATCTCCAATAAATCACAAATGAGCAAACTAACATTCGATAGGAAATTATGGCGATAAACAATGGTTACGAGTTAATTAAGGACGTCGTTTTTACCAAACGGTACGCTTTACTCGGACATTATTCGATTTAAATCGACGCCATTTTTTGCCTTCGTCGATAAATCAATGCAAAATACGTCGAGAAAAAAATGCGTAATGATTGGTGGAAAATTCGGAATATATTCTATTTTTAGAAAAGGTCATCATATGTGAAAAATTCTCATCGATCAAACGAGACAATAGATGATGGAAAATACAATAGGAATGGTACTGAATTAAATGAGAATAATTTAAAGATGCGCATTAATGATTTTTAATGGAAATGCTTCTTTCCTTATAATTCAATCATTCTATTGTTTAAGAATTACACGCCTTTGGAAATGATTACGTGACATCGAGTAACGTCTAACTAATCATGTTAAGATTGTAGAAATATGAGGAAAACGTAGACATGACGACGAAATTTGTTAAGGATTGTATTGCCACACAATGAATCGAGAGAAATATTTCATGCGAAGAATTTGTATAAATTTAAGAAAAAATATAAAAAATTTTTAAAGTCAGTTGTTGTTTAGTGGATAACTGCAATGCTCCTTCCATAATAAACTTATTCTAGTTCCGATTGTGAATTTTGATTTTTGTTTCTTTCGTTTGCAGCAATATTCTCTTATATCCGCTGTTTTATAACACGGAATTATTAAAGAAATGAGTTTTTTCTGGAAGCATAAAATGCAGTCTACAAAACTCTTCAGAATTTAGATTCGACCGGCTGCACGTAACGTAAGCTATATTATTTGAGAAGATGCTAAATAAAAAAAGGAAAAAAAAGGAGAAGTAAGAAATTGCAGTAAATGCATATTTGGCTTTCCTACTTGGCGATAAAATTCGAGTTGCAAAAACATCCCGGGAATTAATTCGTCCGATAAATTGCAGTTCAAAAATAGAATCGGCATTTTGAAGGATTCTAGTTATTAATAAAATACCGAAAAATGTTTTCGCCCGGTTGGTTTTATTATTATGGAGCTTATTGGGATGAAGAAACTAGTTGAAATCAATTTTGTGTACAGGGATGACTGGTTATTACTTTATTTGGTAAACTCGGATCGGACATAATGCACAGACCGGGCCGGTTAAGAAGTTGAATCGATCTGGCCATTGATTATAATCCGGTTAGATAAGGTGGGCATCAAAAATCCTCAACAAACAACACCGGAAATGAATAATGCTCGGGGGTGGAAGTAATGGGGATCTTACGGGCACGTTCCTGCACATGATGGATTCAACATTTACTACTGGACAGAAACTGTTCCAAACAAATCGGTCTCGGGGGATGGGTAATTTCCCACTCGCAGCACCCGGTCCTTGCGCCCAATGTAAAAATTCCACCGCAAATTCCAACACAAATAAATGGAGAAATCGGGGTGATCTTTTTCTCCGTGTTGTACAGTTCGTAAGAGCGAGGGGGACCGAAGAATGGGGAAAGCGATGAGAAGGCAGCGGTAAAAAGGAAGAGAGAGATTACCTGAATGGATATTTGCCGAAAGAAAAATGCAATATCCAGGAGAAAATTACATCTCGGACTTCACAAGGATTTAGAAGAACCAATCTTCAGTCGGCCGAGAAAACTAGGTTTCCATCACCGGCTATAGCAGACATGCAGTTTTGTTGAATGTCATACCGATAACCAATAACTTTACATTTTTCTAAAAACTAATTATCGTTCGTCCCTCCGATCTTTTGTTCCAAAAAAAAAAGAAAAAAAGCGCCGTCGAAATCATCCCGAGGTCGAGTATCGGCAACTTTCTATGTACATTATTTACCTGTTTCGATAGCCGCTACCTATACAAATAATAAAACTTGGCTGCATTCTACCGTAAAAGAAACAGTATAAATAATTCATCGGATACTTTATATTCACATCTTCTATTTCGTCCTCCCTGATATAAATCACATAAAAAATTGATAAATTTTTATGTTTTAGAATAAATTTAAATTTTATATTTTAATAATTTTATATCTGCATAATAAGGGAAAATAATTACTGATGGATCTCCGCTATCCCGCCATCCGATCGATATACGGTTAATTCGCCTTCAGGAATCGATTGAATTTCGTGTTAAGTCCTGTTACTCGCGAAATGTATGTACATTTCGAATTATTTTTGTGATAATAACAAACGGCCATTTTAAAATATTAATTAAACATGTCGATTGATAAAATTATCAGCTGTTATTTGCACGCGAACCCGATAGTAAAGTAGACAAGAAAGAGAGTCCAAAACAGAAGAAAGTTTGATATTTCGTCACATCAGACAGTTTATTACATAGCTTAAGCATACTACAAGAACTGTGATGTAAAAACCTAGAATTTTTTAAACAATATACCAAAATAGAGCCGCACACATGTAAGTATGTATGAAACAATACCTATGTCTAATAATATTAACTGAACATGTTTGATATGGTGGTACAAAAAATCAACAATCTTGATGATAAGTGCAGACAAAAATCAATATAAATAAACAAATGGTTTTTTTAGAATGGTTGTTATTGCCTTTAGGCAAAGTTTCGCCGTTCAAATACCAAACGACGGTTTTTTTCTCTTATTAATTTGTACTTATTGACATTAAGAAGATAGCGTTTTTATAACAGATATCATGAAAATCTGAACATTTTTTTTTTGTTTAATTTGTTTATATAAAGCCCTTTGATGTTGGACCTGCAACGTATTTGACACGAGGTGAATTCGACTGGTAAAAGACCGTAAAATAAAATATTCAAAGCAGCAACGTAAAATGCTAGGATTATAACAACATTGAATCGACTTTTAAGATTGTTGCACACGTACGTATATACAATACAAGAAATTACACACCTGCTTTCTGATAATCTACACTCATTCTTTGCCACTGGGTCCAAGCAGTAATAGGAACTTCGAATGCAGTATGAGGTAGAGGACATCATGTTTAGTTTGCTAGGACCTCAGGTGGTTATAAAGAAGAACCCGACCATAGCGCGCCCTTATGTTTAGCAATAAAATACCAGACCTAACACACGCTCACAGGTGCACGTCAAAAAACGGGGTACCCTTTTTGTTATTTTATTTATTTTCCTTGAAAGTCTACTCTCGAATAAGATTTTTTTAAAAACATGACCTTATCTCAGACAACTCAAACTGTCTTTTAATAAGGGAGTGTGTAGGCAAACCACGAGAGAGACTGCTTTAAAAACGTTTATTTAATTTTTTTTAAAGAGATGCTTTATATAAAAACAATGTCTCTGGTGAATAAATATAGATACAATGAATTAAAATTAAATTTTAAATTGTTGGTGCACCTTGTGACGTTTGAATGTCTCACTAACGGGCACAGCTTAACAGAGGCAGTCGGCCGACGGAGAGAACATGTTAGGAACTTCTGTACCAAATTGTACTTTGATGGCATACAGCATTCATATGGGTTTGTCTATATAGTAGATGTATATATAGTTTATATTTCCCGCGTTCTGCGTATTGTGCGGAATATGGATGGCCCTTTTAATCCAGGAGCAGTCTCTCTCTATCTTTATCTATTCTCCCTCCTTAATAAATTATTCTTTATTTTCTTGAAATAAAGATGTTTATTTATACATATGTATATTTATATGCATCTGTAATAATATTTTTTATATAATATTTATATATGTCTATTTATATTTACTCTTTAAATGGAGATAAAAATAATATCCTGGAATCATTGCACTTTTCCCTTGATTTTGACTGAGAGATATTGTAAAATAAACCACTTTTTACATTAACCATAGATGAGATTTTTTAATAGAATTTTTGAATGAGGAGAACTCCTTTTTTCAAACTCATCACGGGCAAATATACTTCCGGAATACTACAACCCATTATTTACTGACAATGCCAATGTTTGGAGAGTTTGGTAACAGCCCCAGAAAATTGACTGGACCTTGTGCGAGTGCGTGCTGGACTCACGCCCCACTATTTTAAGTAGGAACTTGAACCACTCCTCCCAGAAGGAAAAAAAGGAGAAGTGAAAAAGAAGCGATTGAGAATGAAGTGTTGGAGAAAGATATAACCCAACGAGGGCAAGAGCGACCTCCCAGTTCCAACACGCTTAACACCTCCAAAAATATAGTACCGGGCCAGAACTGGAGAGATCTCAAATGTCCAGAATGCCAACGCCAAATGACTATCCCTGGGTGCCTGAGTCTTGCTTTTCTACCCCTTCTCCAAAGCATGCCCCACTCTCAATCATGGTGGTGGCAGTGTGAGCACAGTCTCCTTCTTTCTCTCTCTCTCTCATCTGCTTTCGCCCTACGTTATTCATAGCGACTAGCTCTACAATTGGACAATCAGGAACCACGTGACTACCACACGTGTCCACGTTGATAGAAACATACAGACGGGTTTTGTCACCACTGAAGATTCAGCTTCCACTTTCATCCAAGTAATATTTTTTTATATTTAAATCTCTACGTGCATCGACGAATTTCACAGAAGAAGGAAAAAAGAATAACGCAAGGAAGGAAAAGATCTTTCCGTTATTTTTATTCTTTTTTACCCGACAGGTGTCTGCCGAGAATAATAACAAGAATTTTTACTCTTCGATGTAGAAAAAATGCAGGAACTTTCAACCCGGTCCATTTGGTGAGCATCAGGAACATGGTGAAACATTGACGGCAGCTGATGACCGTTTTTGTAATGCTGGTTGATAACGTCTTTGAATTGAGCTTGGCTCTCATTTGCGTGTTCGTATAGCAAACACGACAATCAAATAAGAATCCATGATCAGCATTGATAGGCAAAGATTACAATTTCTCTACAATGTATTCAATAATATCTACAAAATTGACTTGTAGAACCATAGGATACCGATAAAGAACAGTACCCAATTTATATCTACTTTTGATGAATGGATAGACGACTAGCACTTATCACATAGACTACGTCACGCACCAACGGGGTATTGGGGTCGTATTAACAAAATAAGAATATAAAACAAGAGAAAACTACATTAGTAGGTCATGACGTTCAATGACGTCATATGATTTGAGTCATGAAAGGAGATCGAAATTTCTCGGGTCTCAAAGACCGTGTCTATTCATATACTGTATATATTATATATATCTCTACGACACCACACTATTGTGGGGTTTATTGCAGGCAAATGCTATACTGTGTTGTCTTTCTTGGTTTTTAAAACTTTCCTCCTCCTGTAAGATGTCGTGGCAAGCGAAGTGACGAAAACCACAGGCAGATATCTCCCCAAAAATTGTTCCCAATCCAACTATAATAATAGGTCATTAGCCTGGATCCATACACTAAACTAACAACCTCACAATATGAGGGAGGAAGATTATTTTCGAGGAAGCTTGTAGCTACAATAATAACATGTGGCAAAAACATTTATGATTCTACAATTTGTTTTGATCCATCTAAGCTCGTCCAGTATCAACGGGGCGCGAATGAAAAACGTCTGTGGTGTGCGAGGACAAGTGAAATGGGGACAGGCGATGGAGGGAGGAATGGTAAGGGTCATGGTTTAACCAGCACCACAGTACGGGAGAAAATTTATATAATGTAGTTATACTACTTGATCCAGCAAAACGTAATACACGACAAAGACATTATTGCCTACGACGATTAAAAAGCATTACAGCCTAGTGGCTTCTGTTGTTAGGGTAGAGTCACCTGAGTAACACATCCCGGATTTAGATGTGGGATCGAACATGTCCAAAGATGTATCGATGCCCTGTCCACGAATCACATTGTCAGGTCCCATACTCAGCCTAAGAGTGGCGTCCAAATCGGTTCTAAAATCCTGTTGGACACCAGAATTGAACAATAAGTCCTGAAGACCGTTTCTTGTGGGATCAGAACCAGCGTCTAACGGTCCTGACATGGGGATAGGAGGGGCGCTTGAAGCTGGTTGTACTGCCGACGACGATTGTTGGACACTAGGTACCACCGTACAGGCTGGAATGGCAGGCGCCGGAGTGCCCGATAGACCAGCCAACACCGTCGATGCTGCCGTTGTAGCTATGGCTATGGACGACGAAGATTGCATCTGTTGATTAGAGAGATGTTGAGTCATCTGAACGGATGCTTTCTGAGCCGCTTCTCTTTGCATCTTCTGAACTCGCTTGATGTGACGATCCATATCGCAGTGGAACTTGAAGTCGAGAACCGTCACAAATCGCTCACGACATGCACGACACTCAACATGGATCTGAACCAGTTTTAGCATGGCTTTTATATCGCCGATGGCTTTTGTTGGAAAACACGAAGCTCTTTGATGATTAAGACATAACACTTCGGCTGGGTAAACCATTTGGCATTTCTTGCATACGAAACCAATGTCGACTTCGACCTCGACTGCTTGATGGAAATCTGGATCTGGTATTCGGCCTTTCAAGTCTGACAAATTCTTTCCATCCTGGGTGATCCGGGCACATGTATTACCTGTCTGACTTAATTTTTGTGTCACCTCTGATAATGCTGCTGGAGGTAACTGCAATAGGGACAGAGGAGTACTGTACATATTAGAATCGTACAAAAAGCCTGCCGGAGGAGAACCTACAGAAGACAAATAAAATAACAATCAATTGATATATAAATTCATCATTTCCTTATCTATTAATTTATCTTTATCACAATATAAATTTACACATTAATACAAGAGAACAATAATTCATATAGATATTTCTTTATTATCGTTAATTAATCAAGTAGTTGTTAGTTAAATTTTAAAATAAATTTTGCACGAGAGAAATTAAAAATATTCAAATTATTTACATCCAGTATAAGTTGGTTGGAAAGTGGGCCTTGGGGGTTAATTAACGTTTATAATAAATAATTAATATAAAATCATTTCATTAATCACATTAATTGTAAATAAAAGGATGTGATGCATTTTCAAAGATTGCTTTGTGTATATCTAAGTAAATAATAGAGTTTTGTTGATGTATAGAATTTTTAAGCAAGAAAACAAAAAATAGAAAAAATGTTCATCACGTATTTTTCTCTTCAGTGTTGTCTCAAAGAAATAAAACCACTCACAGATAATCAAAAAGTCTTTCTGACAACATTGACTGATCGCTTGATTTTAGTTTCCTCATTCTTATTCCAACTTAGTCTAACTCAACGACTCTGGTATCAAACCATAGCGCAATCTGAAAACTTCCACGTCATGCAAACGTTTTTTTCTTATTTTTTGTTTGATGCAGCTATTGGGCGAACATTCTACAAATCCAATTAATAGTCAAATATGACGGTAACTACCTCGAAAAAAAGCATTATCGAATATAACTGGCATGCCGGATCGAATTTAACTGTGCTTTTCTGTAACGACGCTCGGCTATCCAGTTCTGCTCATCCGAAAAGCGAAAATCACTTCTTTCATAGCAGATCTATTAAATCTGTCAGTCGTCAGGTAATTTATAATATCGTTGTAATAAATCCCTCCCAACTGCCTAAATCCTACTTTTTCTTTGAATATGCACTATCTGGAATGGCCCAATCAATATTCAATGCCAAGAGGAATTTAGAATGCATTTTACACGTTATTAGTTGATTTGATACCGGCTGTAATGTTTCTGGCGATAGAAGTGGAAGAAAGAAATGCCTGGAAAAATATAAAAAGAAAAAAGAATAAAAAATATCCTCATTTGCTTTAAAGTTTAGTGGATACAGACATCAATTAAGTTGGAAACTAACTCTCATTCTGCTTGCTCTGCTTAGTTATACGCAGAACGCCTCTCGGAACGTGGGTGTAGGAAGAAGACTTTTTGAAAGAAAGAAAGCGAAAAAAAGAAGAAAATTCCCCAGAGAATAGTGAAAGGAGAGATGTTCTTTACGGAACAACGTAAACTGTTCTGTTTGTTTTTCTGATTTTTCCCCCGCGTCGGTGATTTCTCTTATTTTGTTTTTATAAGTTTAAAGTTTTTGATTTGGCTCTGTCAAGCAAATAATGGACTTATCAAACGAATTGAGGTTGATAGGGTGTCTTCGATTCGGATTATTTATTTAAAACGTTAAAGTTATAATTGCACTCCGGTCGAATTATTGAATGATTTTAGAAGATAAATAAAGGAAGTTCGATACAAGAAGTGCAACAAAGACAGAAAGGAAAAAAAGAAACTAACAAGAGTAATGAAGGTTAACAACTAGCAAATTTAATTACCTAACCTCTTTCTGAAAAGAAACGAAGCGGGAGTACAAAAGAGAAGGCTGCACTATCTTTTTGATGCTATTCTAATAACTTGATTCCTTTACAGTCGAGTGTTCTCATTATGTCTTTAATTGTGGCGGCCGGTTAATGTATCCGCATTAATAACAGTATAGAAATCCTCCGGTTACGTATTAAACCAATTAACACTTTAAGGGATTGTTTAGCCTCAGCCAGACGACGGTTAACGAGATGAAAAGTGCAAAAAGCATAAGGACACAATCCAGCAAGTGGCTGCATTAAAACAGCGGGACGATTGTCCGGAAGCAATAATTATTTGTGTAATGACTGCTAGTATTAATAATTAGTATAATTGTCTGCTGTAATTACGACAAAGTCAGCTCATTAAGGAAAGACTTATTCGCTGTTAGCTGATAGTCCTTCAGACATATTGGCACCCAAAACATCCCTGCGCGTTTATGGACATAATTAGCCATCTCTAGCTCCTAACAATTTCCATGCGTATTAATTTATCCTAGTGGGAATTGTGGATTCGTTTCCAATTATCTAGTTTATTAATACAATAATACATCTTATCTTCTAAACATTTCTTGACTCGGTCCGGATATATAATGAGTTATTTGATATTTTCCCACCGTTCGACTATACGTGCCTAATCAAGTAGAAATCTCCTTCCTTCGTCTACTTTGGAGCGCCGAGACTCGATGCGACGTGATCTGCTTACATCTCTGCTCTATGCGGCAACCATTTTGAAAGTTAACCCTATTTGTATCGGTCCTATCCGTCACACGTGCATAGGCCATTTTCCAGCAGATAAGAAGACGTATACCTACTGCTGAGTGAGGAGGAGAAGCCAGTTCTGTCTAATGGAGATGGCCAAGCATGACTAGCGACTGTGATGAGGTTAGAGATGTTCTGTAACCACGTAAGGCGTCATGTAACGAGCTCGCATGCTCATGTTTGCCAAAGGACAACACCTGTCAGGTGTATAGAGACAGTGATAAAATGAGAGTGAGAACAAGAAAGCCAAACTGTCAAGGTCGTTAATTTACGATCAGACGGAGACGACAAGAGAACGAAATAGCGCGTATTAACATCTAATGCTTCATTCCGATACTACTTTTAACGAAAAAACATTACGTAATTCTTTAAGCAATTAAGTTTTTAATTGAAAAAAAGTAGATGTATCAGAAATATGTCGTCTTCCCAACCATCTTCTACAGATTCGAGAATATAACACGTGTTAGTTAATTAAAAATTTGAAAACGAGAAGAAATAAAAATATTTTCCCAAGACGTCCGGGTAATCTTTACGCAACGCAAACTATTATCGATCCTCTTCTTATATTAGCTAAAGAAATATGAAAGAAGAAGCCGGACGTTCGACGTAATGGACTCGTTATGTGACGTCACAAATGGCGGAAGTGAGCTTCTTCCGGAAAGGTGAGAGCCGAGGAAGTCATTCCGTCTCAAAAAGCTGATGCGTCTTCATCCATCACTGGACACCCTACCACTGACGTCATAGTTCATGCACCCTGACTTTTCCATTTCGTAAGTGCGACTCTCTGGAATTTGGTTGTAGTCACCGGAGCGTGATGTAGTAGAATAGAAAAAAGCGAGCGAGTTTCATCTTGAGTTGGTGATGACCACACCGTTTTGCTACTTGCCACTTTTCAACTTCTTTTTTTATCGTGTCAAAAAAGCTAGCTCAACTAAAATAACGTATATAAATGAAGTATTTAACCTAGACGCAGCACGAAGAGATAGCGACGGCCCAAGCTTGCAGTGGCAAATTAGTCTAGTTGTTGGAAACTGCAGCTAGGTGGCGCGGCACGTGTTCCCTGTCGGTCCTCCAACATTTGATCTATTATACATCATCCGCCCCTTTACACCTTTGAAGGAAGTCGAACGCGGAAATAATCGGAGATGAATATTCCAGACCGACGGGTTAAGAAGAAAGATTACGAGTCACCCTCTCTGCATTCATTGGGATGGGGCCCAGAGTCCTATCCGGAGTATTTTTTTATTAGTTTCTTCTCTAAAATTAAGCTGCATCAACGATTGTCTCGTTAGGCAGCTTCTGTAGCAGGGCAAGAGATTTGTAGATGAATCATCATCCCTTATTCCGATCGGAAGTGTACATTCTCCCTGGGGTGGGGGTGTCGGGATCCCGTGCCAAGGCTAAGTTCTCCTTAGGGGTAGAGTGCAGGAAAAAAAGAGGCTCCACCAGATGTCGACAGTTGACGCGACCATCAAAGTAAACCTCCGTCTACTGGATGTGCTTAATTCTATCAAATTTATTTTATTAGGCAGCCATTTCGCTTGAGCCAAACAATCGTCTTTACTTTAAATATACATAATTTCTATTGACGTGTAATCAATTTTAACTGCGCATCACGTGACCAAATAGAAAGGGAGAGGGGAAAAGAAAAACTGAACAGACCGGTCCGAGAGTAGCCGTGCACCATCCATACTTACAAGGACGAGACTTGACCCGTCTGCCATATCTGACGTCATCCCCTGCGAGCCGCAATCTGTTAAAGCCACTAATGATTCCTCAGGCCTGAGCAGGTGTTGGTCATTAATGTAATTGTCGATGAGAGTTCACGTGATGCGTGCAGTGGCTGGAGACTGGGAGAACCACACATATATGGAGCGTAACAAAAAAATAAAAAAATCACGCAATATACAACTCGAACACCTTCCCACGTTTCGAAGACACGTGTATAGCGTGTAAGTGTGCAGATTTGTATCGTTTTAGCGGCTGGTGTTTGGTTCTCGGTGTTTTACCGTATTCTGCGCGTCCGACTAAATATATACTATCGTGATGTCGTGACTAAACCGTTAGGACTGGAGGCAATCGTCCTGATTAAATCTTTACTGCCAGTTCTTTTCATCTGGTTGCTTTGTTGCCTACGGTAGAAACACTTTCTATATACTGTGTCCTATATGGTGTGCGTGAATGGCAACTTTTTCTAACTTCAGTAAATGTTTTTCATGTTGTTTCAATTGTTTAAGGACATGAATATGAAAATATTATATCGATCGAAACGAAATTTATAAGCGTTATTGAATTTTAAACAATTCCATTGTCGGGGATTATACCGGAGATATTTATTAAGTGGTATATAACGTCGAGAAAATAAAATTCTAAATTGAAGTAGGCCATGTGGAAAACTGGAAAAAAGGAGGAAAGAGGACAAACAGTTCATTTTCCGAAACCAACCAGAAGACGTTTCGGAACGAGAACAAGACGCCTGACTAGTCAACTATACGTCCCTGAGTAAATCCAAGACCACACTTCAACCCGCGGGGGTCTATGACAAGAAAATATTCTCGAATTCGTCCCCTCTTATTCACCCCTCTACCATTTTCAGCACGCGTCTTCC